CAAACTCTAACTGAGCCTGAAGTGAAATTACATCGTGTTCTCGAAGAGTAAACTTGGTAAAACATGGTGGTCCATTGCGTAAAGAAAAGTTCTCTGGAGAGAGAGCTTTCTTGATCCAGATATTTGCCTTTTTTCTTGTTCTTCAAGCTGGATTATGCACAGGAAACAAGATTTTTCGAGCAGGAAATAAACTTTCTTCTTTCTTCAGGTCAAAATCTTCATAAGAATGTCAAAGACGACTTTCATTACTCTGTGAGACGTTTACAGAAGTCATATTAGCATTAACGATTTCATACATATAGAATCCTCAACTACGAGGTATATGAACTCTTTTAAAATCAAAAATGAAACCTAAACGGTGCATTGTAGTCTACATTTTCCAAGTGTTTGTGCTTCTAGTAGTAAAGGCTGGTAATGTAGAAATCCCTGTATTTTAAAATAAAATCTTATTTTTTACATACAAAATAAAGAATACAAATATATACAAAATAAAGAATCCAAATATATACAAAATAAGAATACAAAATAAAGAATATTACAAATTCTTATGATTAATACTTGAAAAAAAGGAGAACGAGGAAAAAAAGCAACTAATGTATTTATTTGAAACTTTAAATGTCATTATCTTCCAAAGAAAATGATCGTAAATGACAGGCATAATTTCTTCTCTTCTGACGACGACAAGATTGAATTATTTTATACATACAATTAATAAAAACGAACAACGATAACAAAGAAATAATAGAAGAGTTAACTATTATTGATGTGAACCAACCCGGTAATGATGTCTTATGACTGGTGATGACGAATGAGGTTGTATTTAAAACTAAATTATAATGAAAATTATAAATTGGCTTAAATACACATTTGACGACTTCATTATTCGAATTCTGTTCGAATACTTTATCATATAATCCATATGCTTCGATAACAGATTGAAGAAAATGATTGTTTTTCGTTGCCTCTTGAATTTGTGTTAAGCATGAATTCATTGCATCAACGTTGTACATTAATGAATAGAACGCGTTTGAACAATATCTGGTAGTTGTTGATACCAATAAGTGTTTGTTGGATGATGATAATGAATTTTTAAACATGTCTTCAATTCTTAGTTGAGAACGTATTGAGTTTTTTTCTTCCAATGTGATGTTATTTGTTGACGTTCTGATGAACTGGGTCACGAGTTCACAATTTTGTAACAGGACGCACACATCAGGATCCACGGAACCACAACACTGCCAGACTAACCGTTGATAATTATGTAAATAATTACAAACATTGTTTGTATAAACACCAGCCATCCATAAACACAAAGGAAAAAACCAAATCCTATAAGAAGCACAAGCAAAATAACGACTACTATACTCCTTGAGTAATAGCCCTCTGAATCTCCAGCTTCCCAGGCATATCCCACCAGAACCCTACTGCGATTTCGCTTAGAGTCCTAATGAAATTAGGTAAAAAGTCACAGGTAAAAGTCATAGGTTTTTGTTCGAATTCGAACAAGAAAATGTGCTGACAATAGATATAAACGGATCATGACACGATCCTAAATTATGAGATCTCATAGGAGTATCCTAGCAGAAAATAGGTCGGAAATGCATAGAATTATGCCAATATCATTATCGTTCTATGAACTACTATCCATTTCAAATTGAACGACCGGTAGCTATTTCGAATAACTCAAAAATGAAATGAGATAAAGTCATGCGGTTTTCAACATGCGAAGCCCACACCTGGGAGTATCTTTCCATAGGCAGAAACGTTTTTTTAAAAATTTCAGAAACCGGTTTTCGAGAAGGTCGTTGGAAGACTATTTTGTAAATCCACAAATTAAAATAGAAAAAATAGATTGATTTTATTTCATGTCTAGATAGTCCAAAATGTCCTCTACAAAATGAGATCTAAGCAAAATCTCGGTTTTTCCTGGTTCGGTCGGGGCAGCGATTTTCCTGAAAGCTCCAGAACTCGCAGTTTTTTGAGCTCTCAGCAATGCATGAAAATATAGGTTTTCGACCCTTTCTTAATTTCATGATAATGTTTGTTTTCAGAAGAAAATTTAAGAACCTAGTAGAGGCGTATACTGGGTGAAATATCCATTTTTAGGGTGCCGAAAATTTAAAGTTGAGCACTACTTTTTTTCCAGTTAAATCATACATCATTTGAAAGAGCGCATTTTGTTTGTACACACCGAGTCAGTTTTAGTTTTGACGTTTTGAGAGATTTTATTCTTTCCTGTGGAGGCTAACACTGACGAAACTATAAATATCTTTTAATGAAGAAAAAAGCTGCGTTGCTTGATACAGAGTTATAATACCGTAAAAACATTTTTCTTTCAATTTTTTATGAAACTATAACTATAGATCATTGGCTGCCAAACTACGCTAAAAGGACGTTTCTACGACAATTTTTGACTGAGCTCTAAGCTTTTTAAAAATAGGTCTAGCAATTAAGTTTTTTGCTAAAATTTAATTTTAATTGATTTATAACTCCGCGAATACTTATCGGCTCTTTGAAAACAGTTCAGGATATATGTAATCAAGTGTTCTCTACAATCTAAGAAGGTTTAACAGTACCTTTTGTGGGGAAAAAAACGTCTGTTCTTAAAATAATTCAAATTTTTGCTTTATCGCTCTTTCAAGTTTTCACACTAATTTTTTCGGATTTAGTATCAAAAACTGATGATTCTAAAAACGATGTTGAATTGATTGAGAAAGCATTAGTGTTCTGGCTTTTGACAAGCAACATCGGCTCCTTCAAAATGGTACCAGCTCATTTTAAAAATCTATCTAGGTTTTTCAGTTAATAGTTCTAGCCAAAATTGTTATCTCATCTTATTCGTTAGACAACAAGCTACAAAAGTATATATCGTTTTTTTAAAATTTTATTTCTAATAAAATTTCGCCATTTCTGCTCAAAATGGGACTCGTATTTTTCCATTTTCTCCATCAAGACTTGACTTTTCGACAAAATAAAGTCGTATTGAGAATTAGCATCAAACACTGAGTCGAATGACGTGACTTTTGGAATTTTCGCAGAATTTAGTACTTTTTCGAGTTTTTTCAAAAGAAATCAAACGCCAGGACTTTGGGTCATAAATTACAGTTCCTAAAATTTTTCGACTTGAAAAACATGTTTTGAAAAGCTAAAACCATCTTTTCTTACTCAGTTCGATGCGCTCTTTCAAATGATGTATGATTTAACTGGAAAAAAAGTAGTGCTCAACTTTAAATTTTCGGCACCGTAAAAATGGATATTTCACCCAGTATACGCCTCTACTAGGTTCTTAAATTTTCTTCTGAAAACAAACATTATCATGAAATTAAGAAAGGGTCGAAAACCTATATTTTCATGCATTGCTGAGAGCTCAAAAAACTGCGAGTTCTGGAGCTTTCAGGAAAATCGCTGCCCCGACCGAACCAGGAAAAACCGAGATTTTGCTTAGATCTCATTTTGTAGAGGACATTTTGGACTATCTAGACATGAAATAAAATCAATCTATTTTTTCTATTTTAATTTGTGGATTTACAAAATAGTCTTCCAACGACCTTCTCGAAACCGGTTTCTGAAATTTTTGAAAAAACGTTTCTGCCTATGGAAAGATACTCCCAGGTGTGGGCTTCGCATGTTGAAAACCGCATGACTTTATCTCATTTCATTTTTGAGTTATTCGAAATAGCTACCGGTCGTTCAATTTGAAATGGATAGTGGTCTGGAAGAGTCATTTATATCACCTATTACTTATATCTGATATATCTGTATCACAAACAAAATGTGTAGACGATTTATTGGTTTATTAAAGGGTGTGACTGATGTTCATTCATAACAAAGCGTTGGTGATGAAAAGTACAATCTGCATTTATTCCTCTCGATTGATGTAACACACAAACACAGACAAAACATTTGGAAATGATGTAGACCATATGTGCAAAAAAAATACATATTTTTTCTTCCTTCAATAAGAAATTTCTGTTCAAAGAAATCACGCAAAAATGCATTCTCTCATCTCCTTATTGTTCAGTTTCGTCACTCTGAACAAAAATAGACAAACTTGGAAGTAGCTACTGTAATTTTGTAGGGAACGCTCTTTCTTCTTTACTGAATTAAAAATTTTATGCCTCATATAATGACAAAATCTCATTCATTTTCTACTTCTCATGGAATTCATTTAGTACAGTATATTATACCTTTATGTATGTATAGTTTTTAACACCAGATAATTAAATTTAATTAAATCCGTTCTAAATTAGCACCACAGAGTAAGTTTACCTTTGTATCTTAATTTATTCTCCCTTCAGATAATTGCAGGTATAGTAAAAAACATTTCCTTCACTAAAGTTAGATAGTAATTTTGGTTTCACATTAAACGCAACGTAATTTATTTATAGAAATATTATGCATTTCTTTCTATTCGTCGTTGTCGTGTCGTTCACCCTATCATCCATTATCGATAGCGCTTATTCATGGCATAAGCCAGTGAATGATACGATTATAATTGATAAAAGAACGAAATTGCTCGTAGAAAAAATCGGTAAACTTCTGTATCTGACGGAAACAACAGGCATTGCGATCACGATTCCGATTTTTCAATTTGGCTGTGATTTGCTTCCTCCAAAATTTTACCGAAAATTAAAAATATGTACCGATAATAATAGTCCTGCTGTTAAAAAGAACTTAGCAAAATCAACCGACCAACAAAACTCTGAAATTCTTCTGACTATGGCCAATTCATCGAAAAAATCGTTCAACGACCGGTTTATGGATGCTTGGGATAATATTGATTCAAAACGTGCATTAGTACGGAACAAACGACAGGGTATAGAATATTTTAGTCTTGGTACAAGTGTCGTGGCACTAGGTACGTCAGCATATAATTCGATCCAAATATCAAGTATAAAAGACACACAACAGCAGTTATTAGATCATATTTTATCTGATGATAAAATTTTACAATCAACAGTGGCAAATCTCGTGTCATTAGCGGATACTGGAAATGCCATTGTTGAAGAACTGAATCAAACACGTCATTCAATGACAATCCTGCAAGATCGACTAGTCTATTTTTATAATCACATGAAGACACTTCAAAACGTAGTCAATATTGTCGTACAACAATCACTACCAACAATTGAAAATGAAATATATTATGATAAAATTCACCAATCATTAGATGATTTGGTAAATGGGAAAAAAAATTTTGATTATCTATCTCGTGATGAACTGCGCCAAGTAGTTAATACACTATTTCAACGATCAGACAAAATCCTTGCACTGTTTGATATGCCTTTAATGACACTTATTAATCGTCTAATTGCATCACAGTCATTTTACTTTGTGTTAAATACAGATAACGGTACCAACGGCAATAATCCTAAAACTCCAAATGGTGACATACCAGTGATATATTTTCTTGGAAAGTTGATTATATCGAATGTTGTATTTATTCCCCGTGCTTATCCATATATTGTCATATACTGCCATATATTCTGGGCAAGAACAATTCTGCTGCAGACTATCTTTTCAGATGGCAAACACTAGTGAACAGCAACACCGAAAACCGATCAAAAAATGACTGGTCCCAACAACCAGAATCATAGTTTGAAACTGAACCAAGGCTACACCAGCACCGAATATCACCCACCAACCATCTTCCAAAAATAATTCCTGGAAGAAGATTCAAACACTTCTTTTCTTTCTGTTAGTTCGGAAGTTGTTTAAATCAACATCACAAAGCCACCAAGCAAATAAAACAGCGGTGGAAGTACTTCTCAACCCAGTTACAGCAAGATCCACATCCAAAGCCTTATACTCACCGCCACCACAACCAATACCCAATACTCCTGCACCTCAACTACAGTCAGCATCTTCTTCTACCTTGCTCGACTTTAGTGATGAGAAGATCCGATCTGAGCAATTGCAAGACAAAATTATTCAAGAAAAGATTGCTCGGTGCAATTCGACAACTAAAACCAACTACAAAATGATTGACGGCATTCTACATCGAACTAATTCATCCAACTGTCCAACTCCCCTGCCTTATCTTCCACAAACAGTGATCCAAGCTGCCCTGTTTGCCAATCATGATCATCCATTGAGTGAACATTTTGGTATTGAAAGAATGTATAACAAACTGAAGAGCAAATATAATTGGCCAAAAATGTTTGAGACAATCCAAAATTATGTTCAGTCTTGTCCTGAATGTTCCCAATATAATATCCAACGAAGAAAACATCCAGGGCATTTGAAACCAATCCCTCCTCCAAACGAAGTGTTTCAAGTGTTGGGCATGGACTGGTGGGGACCAACGCAACAGGAATCATCTGATGGCAACAGATACGTCTTAGTCATAACAGACTTACTATCCAAATACGTCATCGCTAAAGCGGTTCCTGCCAACAATGCCCTTACCACAGCAACAATGTTCATGGAAGAATTCATTCTGAATCATGGTGCTCCCGAATGTCTGATAACCGACCAAGGATCACATTTCAACAATGAATTAACGCAGGCGATTACCAAAATGATTGGCACTAAGCATGTCTTCTCAACGGCATACCGTCCCCAGACAAACGGCCAAGTGGAAAGGTTCAACGGCACCTTTTGCCAGCAACTCTCTAAATATCGCCATCACAATAGTGAAGACTGGGACCACTACTTAAACTATGCCGTCTACGCCTACAACAACACCAAACATTCGTCGACCAGATTCACTCTGTGTGAACTAGCATTTAGTCAATCCAGATTTTCATTTGTTCCTCCAAAAGCCGCGTTTAAATTCACAGGATCCAACGCGCACTCTTTGTTTTCTTTTTGTCAAATAACTTTTAAACCATTTGTACTCCTGCTCTTTTATTCCTAACGCATTCAGTTTCGTTAACAGTATTTGATATGGGACGTGGTCAAACGCTTTCTCAAAGTCAAATGTAACTAATATTGAATCGTCACCAGCCTCTAGCTTATCTTATATTTTATGTGTCAAATAAATTAGAGCATTCGTTGTGCTTGGTTTTTGACCAAAACCAAATTAAACAGGCGAAAAGAAATTGTGTTTCGTTAAATACGAAACTAATTCATCATAAATGAAACATTCTAACACTCTACTGTGAATTGATAATCAACGGGCCTATATTCACTAACGAGTGCTTTTGGCCCTTTTTTATGAACCGGCACAACATCAGCGTGTTTCCACAGCAACGGATGAACGCCGTTTTCAATAGATAAAGAGAAAATATGATGAATAAGATCAATAGGTTCCGTGACATATTCTTTTAATAAACGTACACTGATCTGATCTGCTCCACATCCTGTGTCGTCGCGCAAACGACTGATTGCTACATATATTTGTTCTCTACTAGGTACAGACATTTGAAACACATCATTTATGAAAACTTTTGGTTTTAAACATAGTCCTGATATTGGACTAAAATACTCAGAAAAAAATTCATTAAATAAAACTGCCTTCATCGCATCATCTTGCGCTTGTTTATTTTCTGAAAAAACTGTAGCCGGTAAATCTGAACTATTGTCTTTAACTTTATTTATTCCTTTCCAAAAATCTCTGAGCTAGTAAACTTGTTTGACAGATTATCAAAATATTTTTTTCTGCTTTTTCTCAGCTCGTTTATTGTGTTATTTCTAGGTAAATGAAGCTTATCTAAATTTGTTTCAGACTTATTACGCTTTATTTTCATAATTAACTTATCACGATACCGACGAAAAACATAAAACTGCCTTCTAGGCCGAAAGAATATTTTCTGACGTGGTTTCACTATTTCCAATGGAACGTGTAAATCGATAGAACAGTTTACAAAGGACTCAAAAGTTTCTAAAGCTCTATCTACATTTTTAATATTTAAAAAATACTTGACGGGTATAGATGAGAGCGATATCCCAGTTTACAACTTTTATAATCTCACGCCTTACGAACAGTAGACTTAGATAACACTGAGATAGATGGGAATTCACAAAGTATCACTTGATGATAAGATTTACCAATGGCATCGAAATAAGAAACTGTTGGTGAAAGCCATATAGAAGGATAGTAAACATTATCTAAAAGACTATTTCCTAAAGTGGTAGAATGAAAGCCAGACGGAACTAAATGAAATAAAGATACAGATTCACGCAATAGGTTGAATATAACTGTAGAACTTTCAGGATCAGAATTAAAATCATCAGCTAAGAGCTCATTCCTACGACAGTTTTTAGTAAGAAATGGGATAGTTTATCATAACAAAGTAACTTGCGGAGGCAAGCTCCTATGCTGTTTCTTTCAATTTTGGAGTAATATGATCAATTCCATCTCCATTCGGATGTAATTTATCAAATTCCAAAAACTTCCTTTCTGAATCGATTGAAACAACTGCAACTGCTTTATCATTAGCAAATGTGTCTTTCAATAAATTGTTATACTTCTTTATTTTATTTAATATAGGTTTGTCGTATCGTGATGGAACTGTCACTATATTTATTTTTGTTATTTTTGTATACTTTTGATGCATGGTCTGAACAAGATTTTTCATTTTGTGTACCACTTGACCCGGCGTCTGATAACGTAAAGAAACATCCTTCGTTCCACAAAACAAAGTTACAGAATCAGCAGAATAAAGCAAATAATTTAATTGATTATTATAAATCGAACCATCAACCAGCCTGACCCTCTTACTCAGTAACTTAGAAACAAAAAACTGTGATTCAAAGTTAAAAATGCGCCAGTTTTTTAAGTCTACCCTGAAAATTGCTCAAATCATGATCTTCTTCCTAAAGATCCATGCGCAAGCCCAAAAATTATAAAAATCTTCTCCTATTTGTCCTTTTCTTACCACGTCAGAGTGAAAAGCTTGAAGAACGCGAAAATTGTATCGAATATACAGTTTCAAATATTTTCTGGGAATAAGACTGATGTGAGCTAAAACAAAAATTCGCCTTCAAGGTTTTCTAGAAAATCAGATCGTTCAATAGAGCACCAAATTTTCAATAAAAGTAATATATATGTGATTCATGATTTTGTAGCCAGTGTTAGAGAAGCTACGATGCATGAAAGTATTCCACTAAGTCCGATAAATCTTAATTATACGTTTCTCCTTTGCTTTTTTTCGTTCAGCTCCAATTCAAAAACAGAATCAATAAAAAAAATTTAAAGTTTCTTTTTTATTGTGTTCAAAAAGAATGGTGTCGTACTCAAGGAACTATAACATTTTTTTCCTCATACATTAAAAAAAAAACTTTGTTACATATGGATAGAAAAGACAACTGATTTTATCAAGAATAAAAATAAAGTCTAATATTAAAAGGGTTATTTGTTCGTTGAATTTACCTTTGAGGATTGATTATCAATTCTTAATACATATAAAATAGCTCGTTTGTGGTGTAACAAAATGGCAGATTTCCTCTTCTGCAACACCGTCAGTTTGATATCGTTTTTTCTCGTCAGTTGTGAGTAGATGACACATCACTAACATTGTCACGAGATTGTTTGTTTCTTCATATTTAAATATTACTTCAATCATCCGTGTTGAATTTGTTGTATGACAAAGATTAAATGAACACTGACTCTTACCATTTTGAACCATTCGTTTATGACAAGCAATTGAATTGGATTTTTGACATGGTACAGTTTTTTTAACATCAACATATGTTATATTAAATAAATTTGGAAATGATAATAGACTATCAAAATCTGTTTCTGAATTCGGAATTATCCGTTCCAGGCTATGATTTGTGTTCAGAATCTGTTGACTCCAACTAAACAGTTCGTGTTCATTATCAGAACATGAAATAATAAAATTATGGTGATGAAACCCATAGTTCCGGACGACACACTTGCACTATTTGTTATTGCATTATCCAATAACCACTAATCGAAATTGAACGATTCAAAGTCATTAGTGAACTATAAAGATGTCTCATTCCTTTTCGATGTACATCTAAAAGCTTTTCACGTTGTTGTGCACAAACTGAAGCTGTGTTGAATGATCGTCGTTGTGGTCCAGAACACCTCTAAAAGCAAAATCACTCGATATAATTAAATTGTAATTGCTGTTAAAAACATCTGACAGAATTAAAGCTTTTGCATACAAAATCGCAGGAGCCACCTGGACCTGAAGCAGGGGTGTAACCGGTATCAAAATTGCGATACCGGTACCGGCCACCGGTATACAAATTTCATACCGGTACCGGCTTGTCTTGATTATGTTTTGCTTAAATACAAATACCTTTTTTGTTTTTCTGTACTGTGAATTTTATTTACAGTTATTCAGAATGTGAGTC